TGTTAACCAATGTCATAAAACAGCATGTGTGTTACTCTTACATGAGAAACTATCTGTTCTGTAAGCCTTCACCTGAAGTACAATAAAATATTAAAAAAAAAAAAAAAAAATTAGCATCATTTTCCCTGGTTCCACCTCTTTTGAACTGCATGATATGACGTCAGACAAATTACTTAGCATTTCCGAGCACCAATTTACGCTACTAGAGAAATAATAATACCAAATGCTCAAGGTTAGTGAGAACATTAGAGATAATACTCAGTGCCTAGAACACTACCTGGACAGAAGGCACTCAGTAAGTACTGGTTGAATGAATGAATATAATGAATGAATGAATGAATATAGCTTAATGCTTAATATTCAAATGACACTCAATATACTATATCCAAAACAAACAAACTGGTTGCCATAAAGTCTATTCAGACTCACAGTGACCCTATAGGACAGAGCAGAACTGCCCCATAGTTTCTAAGAACTGCACTGTGGATTCGAACTGCCCACCTATTGGTTAGCAGCCATAGCACTTAACCACTACACCACCAGGGTTTCCTACAATAGCTAATATATAAACACTTTATAGTGCTTTGCAGAGGGCACCATGTCTCCCAAGTCTCTATTACCTGAGCATGTTTTACCACCACATCCAGCTGTACCACTGGTACCTACTACATTTATCTCTACCATTCACTCCCATTTAATGATGGTTTTGTTTTGTTACTTACCACTAATTAGATTGTGAATACATGAGGCCAAGGACTGCTCCTTTATTTCTTTGTAGCCCAATACATTAATTCATTCAAACCTGTTCTAAGTGTGGACTACATGAAGCATTTCCCAAGAGAAACCTACACAAAACAGATGCTCAGTATCTCTTCTAGAAAAAAAATACTTGTTGAATGAACACAAGGCAAAACTATCTTGCAGTATAAATGGGACAAAGAACAACAATACAGAAAGCATTTTACATACTACATACAATACACATGAAATCCTCACAATCACTCTCCAAATCAGTAATTCCATGTCCACATCCCAGGAAGAAACTGAGGATCATCAGGAAAAAGTCCCTCTTCCAAAATGACCCAGCTTTATTCAAGTTCCACTCAAAGGTCCTTGTTCTTACCTCCAAAAAACACTGTCTCCTAAATGGGGACTTCCAAAGGGATCTTTCTCAACTTGACTTTATAAATCAAACTTAGTCATATTTCAAGGGTACCCTTTCCTGGTGTTTTACTTTATACCCATCCACTTGCTGCGTAGCTACCACAATTAATACAAACTAGTCCATAATCTGCCACTATTGACTCACATCTGCATGTGTCAGTGAAATAATTTCACTTAACACAATAGATAACTGGAGAATATTCCCTTTAGACAATGAAGCCTTTTTACAAAATGTACCTTCTCTTGATCCAGAACTTCAAGATATCATACATAAACAAACACACATACAAACATAAACGTTAAATGATTCTCTGGAACACTTTATGTACAAACTATCAAATGTAAAGCCTAACATGCTCTGTAAACTTTCACCTGATGTACAATAAAAAATTAAAAAAAAATTAAAGTGTTCTAAGTACAGTAGCTCCACCTACATCATAATAACCCCAAATCCTTTTGAGGAATGAGTTCGTTGCTTGTATCAAGTCGGGATTAGTGGTAGATCAGATTTTCACCAGAATATCACCTTGTGAACATACAGGCCAAAGAAAGAATCAACCCCAACCCATCACCCTCCCTAGATATACAATCAGGCACTTCGTGACAGTGGGTGAACAGCTCCTTATTCATTTCCGAAAGCTAAGTATTAAAAAAGGAATATGATCAATTATGCTACGGATATATAATTATATGCCATGGTCCTTCATCGGTTAACCCAAAAATCCATGTTTCCTGGCTCACTGGCTCCAAAGAGTGTCAGAGCCCTTATCCTTTTCTACTGGTACAACATGCAACTGTTACACGATTATTAGCAGAGTTCAGAGTTATGTGTACTCCTGGGGTAAGGGTTTAGCGAACTCCTCAAAGGCAAAGACCTAGTCTTTTAGTGTTCAGCACTGCAGGAGCTCAATGAAAACTGGTTAAGTAAATAGCAGAAACATTGCTGAAGAGGTCACACAGGTTACCCATCCTAGGGCCCCAAGAGTGCCCTTGTCCCGTATCACATAAAATAACTTCTCTTGTAAATTTGGCATACTAACTGCATCTACTATAAACAGCCCTGTTTGCAGTATATAATTATTAGAAATAAACTACCAAACAAACTAGTGAGAGCCAACTCTCAATTACTCAGGGACTAATTAAGCAGAGCACATATTTCCTTCCCTCAACTATTGAGTTTTTGGATTCTTACAACATTGAACAGATAATCTACAAGAGAAGAGAGATAAAATAAAACTGAAACTTGACAGGGTTTATTTTGTTGGGTTAAGTATCATCAGATTGAAAATAACAGAGAGAATTTGTGATTTTTTAATTATAGATTATAGATCATTGGCTATAATTAAAATAAAGTAGCGAAAAGGTCTAGGAAACATACAGAAAAAAAAAAAAAGCCCTACGTGGGCCTTTGCCTAAAATCCATAGTCATTCCCAGGAGTCATTTCTCTGGCCTCTATAGTTTAAATTTTTACTACCCCAGTTACCTATTTTTTTCATGCTCATCTCCCAGCAGGCTCACACGACTAAAATATTAATTACAGTGTATGAATTCCCCTCACACCAATCCTTCTATTTTCATTATCCTACTATTTCCACAATTAGGCATCATTTTAAATTGAAGTATTTATTTGATTTACTCCTTCTCTCCTTCTACTTATTAAATGACGAGTTTGGGATAAATAAATGTAGGGTTTTGCATCCAGGACCATGGTAACACATGGTCTATTTCCTCAAGGAATCAATACTGTAAACGATAAACTACTTTCTTCCTTAAGAAAAGAAATATTTCCTGAAAGCGTTTTGATAAGTCCATATAATATATACACCAGAAACCTATCTCACAATTTTAGCCAGGAATTAAATCACTACATGTGGCCCTCGACAACCTATCTTTTGTCTTCCGCAAAGCCTGGCTAAGGTAAAAACGGTAATATAACCACCAAACATTTGAGTAACTCTTGATAGTTCTCAAATATTATTTTACTTGACCCTTTTAACAAAAGAAGCAAGGCAAGTATTGTTGCTCCCATTTTCCAGATGGGGAAATCTCAGCTGAAAGAGATGAAATAACTTACACAAGATAACACATCTAGTGACTAAATTCAGTCTTCTGCTTTTTAGTCTAACATTTATTCCATATCCATAACGACCCTCCAAATGAAGAAAAATAACCCACAGCCTTCAACTCAGCATGTCTAAAGAAGGAACTCGACATCCTAGGAAATGCATTTTACTCTTCGAAATCTATTCCATCTGCATGATGTTCCTCTCCCATTGTCTCTGCTGTATCATCTACAGGAACACCATATCTACTTAATTTGCTAAATACACTGTTCAAGATGATCCACAAACAGAAAATGAAAATAAACTTCTCCTAACAATCATTTTTATTCCTGCAATTATTTAGTTTTGATTTCTAGACCACACCTTTCCTGATTACAAGGTGGCGCAGTCAGGATTATTAGTCCTCCTCATAAACGGTAAGGTTAATTTTTATTTTCTTTTGTTTTATTCAAACAAGAATCAGCAATCCCTTTAGAACTCCAGACAGGCAAAGAAGGAAAATGAAAAAAGGCACTAAAGGAGGAAGGATTAAAGAGAAACAAAGAAAAAAAACCCAAAGGTATAAATAGTAAAAAATACCAGCACTAGCATGACACAAACGTATTTATGTGCTCTGTCTCAGAGATGTCTCTCCCTTCTGCCTGAGAATGACTTTCATCCTGGTAGTAGGTCCTGGATTATTGAAGACAAGCCAGCACCCTCCAAAGTTACTTTATTGGAACTTAATGAACAATAGCAGTATTCCCTGTGGAGATGCATTCAAGTTGACAAGTCCATACTAACATCCCGGAACCTCACTATAACACTATGACGTGATATTTGGTACAAGTCAGCTGACCTTGGATTGAAGTCACAGGAGTTAATTCACTTAAATACCCAAAAGCTCTCATCATTATAAGTTTCACCTACATAATTTTGCTACTGGGCCCCAAAGACATTTAAAGTTCCAGAATCTTCAATGGTATTTCTGTGTACCTATGTAACTGTTGGAAACCCAGGTGGTGTAGTGGTTAAGAGCTACAGCTACTAACCAAAAGGTTGGCAGTTTGAATCCACCAGGTGCTCCTTGGAAACCCTATGGGTCAGTTCTACTCTGTCCTATAGAGTTGCTATGAGTTGGAATCAACTTGACAGCAATAGGTTTAGTTTTTTTGTTTATTTTTTAATATAACTGTCAAATTAATTTACAATCACTTTTGTTCCATCTTTCCCACTTTTTCAATTCCAAGGAATAAAAAATTTACTTTCAGTAGAAAACAGACGCAACTGAAATGCTAACTTAGAATCTGGCAAGAAGTGCCGATCCAAAGATTATCCAGGACAATCTAGTAATTTTTCTAGATGCTTTATTCAAGCCTCAATCATACTTGAGGGTCAATACTTTCATGCATTCAAATCACCACCCTCAAAACAGAGTTTTTTTTCTTTCCCAACTTTGTCCCACACTTTTCTTCCTGATCCTCAAATGCAGCCTTTGATATTTGCAGGTATATCAAGCAATTTGTTTCAACCAATAAATCTTACCTTGTGGCCTTGAAAACAGAAAACTCTGGTGGCCTTTATGAATGCTGTCCACCCCCAAGTTCTCTTCTGAAGGTCTAGCATTGATTTAAAGAGAGGAAAGGTAAAATTAAAGCACTTCTGTCAAAAAAGAAGCCTTCGAATCCACAATCCACACAAGATAATAGCTTAAATTTAGAGTCACTTATGCATAATTTCACACCATACCATATATTAAAATAAAAGAAACTAGTCTGGGATGAGGTGAAACGGATTTTAATCATTCCCACATTCTAAACTCCTCCAATAAAGTCTCTCCAATTGAGGGATAAACAGGTGAAAGAGGGATCATTTGACTCAACTTTAATGTCCTTTATTGTTTTTACCTTTAAAATTAAAAGATATTTTACAGAATACACACTGGCAAAATAGATATCATGTAAGCAGTTTTTGCCCATGTATTTAAGTGTTTAAATCATGAATCATACAAAGTATTCAGAAACAGTTTCTTAATCAGTGAAACAAAATAACTGGCTCTTAGAACCAAAAGGGACTACATACACTAAATCTATTCCTACAGCTATACAGTTAAGAAACTCCATATTAACCTTAAGTTACATTTATTAGAGAATAAAATGATAGCTCATTGAAATGCAAATTTCAACCAAAGGCCTTTTTCATTTTTATAAGTTTGAAACAAACATCGCACTTTGTAATTTTAACATTCGAAAAGAAATTATCCACTGACTCATGATCAAAGATATACCAGTCTGCCGTCGTACAGACAATCACAAATATAAAAACAACTGTTCCTAATCTAAAGGATGACCAACCTCAAATACCAGAATAAAAGCAAAGTGGTTTTGCATACAACTAATGATGGATAGAAGTTACACAGTCTGAGTCCTCCGTACTCATTGCTCTTAGATTTACTAAAACTTTCTATTCCCGATCAGCATCCTTTCACACAACATCTGGCTGCTCGCTCACGTCGTCTAATTACTTCCACGTCTGAATGGACTACGTAGCTACAAGTACAGGCCAAACTTTGCTCTCGGCCTTCCGAACTTAAAGATGCGTTTAACCACTAGAGGTCTCCCCTTGGCCAGTTTTGCACGTTCGCTATTTTGCTGCACTTGAAACTTTACGGAGAAATGCTCTCTACTGGAGTCAGTGTTTTTCAAAAAACTTGCGCAAAAATCCACGCGACCGAGATAGGTAGCACAGAGGCTCTCGAGCTTCCAAAACCAATAAAGACATAACAAACAATGCTAAAGGAAAATCAAAATTAAAATTCGACGCACTAGCCCCAGCCGCTCCCCCCCGCAAAAATTCCTTTCTCATCTAATTTTCCCTTAAAACAATTAAAAATATATTTTTATTTCTGTACACTTAGAGTGATCTCTAATACATGTTTCTTGCGTTAGAGCCGAGGTGGTAAAAGGAGCGGGCCAAGGGATGCAGAGAGGGGGAAAGGCCGTGCTCACTGCGCCCGAGGAAGTTGCATAAGGAAAGAGACTCCGTTTTTCGGGTCCCCTCAAAAAGTCGGCGGGGAGGGGGAGGAAAAGGAAAATCGAAGCGACGTTTACCTTCGTCTCCCCGTGGCAGGGTGGGGTAAGTGCCACCGTCCTCGCGACCCTGGTGGGTGGCTCGTTACCCCTACCTCCTTCGGAGCGCAGACGGACAAACCGACACCTCTAACCCTCCGAGGGGAAAGCAGGGAGGAAACCGCCCGCTTTTAAACTTTCTCTCACGGTCGCGCTGTGGGCCGAGCTTTGACGAGGGGGGCGGGGGGAGGAAAAAAAAATCATTGGGCCTTTTTTCTTTCAAGGTAATTAAAGTTTTACCACCAGCACAAAAGTTGCGCCCTCCTCCCGCCCATGTCACCGTGCCCCCACCCCTCCAGGGCTCACAAGTTTTCCTCCTTCTCCCCCACCTTAACCCCAGCTCGCGGGGCGCGCGGCGGATGCCCCGGCTCCTGCGCTTCCCGATCCCCACCCCCGCGGGCCTCTACTTCCCCCGCCTGGCCGCCGCGGCGCGAGGACGGCCCGCCGGGCCCAGGACGCGAGTGTGCAAAGACCATTATTCCGGGATTGCACACGCACGCGGCGTGAGGCGGGCGGTGGCCCCTGCTCGAACCCCTCTTTGCCTCCCCAATATAAGAAAGGCGTAAACAAGTTGCAGGAAAAGCCGCCCCGCGTCCCCCCCACCGCCCCAGCCCGCCGCCCTGGCGCGGCCG